TTTTATCTTGGTTCGAAACAAGTGTTCACTTACATAATCAAGAAGGACTTAATTATTTTCTTTAAAGTAGGTACAAGTTCAAACTTTTGCCATCTTTGGTCTGTCGAACAAAACTTAGTCCTTCTGTAGCAAAATTCTTTTACAGTATCTTGTTTCTAATTAGTGGCTATTCTACTTGTAATGACTAATGACTATTAGAGTGAAGTGGACTATAGATAATGGGGAAATCAAGGAGAGAAATAGATTCTGATTTTGAGAGGTTCCTAATCTGAGTTACTTTCCAAGTTCTTTTTATTGTATCCTGAATATAGCTGCAAACAGTGTCTATACCCTTTTTAGCAGAACAGATGTTATCATCACTGATGGATGTTCTAATCGTGCGTCTTTTAAACTATGTACAAACGTAGGGCTTCTTGAGATTTTCATGGTTTGTCAAATAACATTTGGTCGTGTACCGTACTGTTTATTTTGAGAATCTGAAAGTTTCTTGATCAAGCAACTGAAGGAAATACAGAGGAGGGATAGTAATAACGCCTTTAAGAATAAATCTTGACCTCTAGATACTCTTGAGGCCATGGTTCCTTCAGTTTAGTTTGCATTAAGATTTTAAGTATGTCTTGCCTGAGACTTGAGAAAATGAGAGTTTAAGGGCTTGGATGGATATTGAAGCATCTAAATCAATCTATTTTTCAGATAATGTAATTATCATATATTTGACTTGGAAAAAGAAGCTTATTCTTTTGCTACAACAAGTAACTTTTGTTTTTTGTGACGTTTGGTGCATGCTAGAAAATGCACGACGTTTGGTACATGTTAAAACTATGAATCATGACCGATTAGTAAGGTATTTGACTCGTGAAAAGAAGCTTGTTCTTTTGCTACAACAAGTAACTTTCGTTTTAAGTGACGTTTGGTGCATGTTAAAATTATGAATCACGACAGATCAGTAAATTGTTATTCCAATTTATTTTTATTGTTAAACTTTCAGGAGGTGGAAGCTGTTATGGAGAAGTAATCCATCTACTGCTGACTCCTGCCTGCATCTTGATGATGAAGCATGATGTTGCCTCGTTCATGTTCGTGTCAAATATGTTAATTTTCTTTGTATGTGTACAAAGGAAGGACCTATGCTTGCTACTATTCTGTAGGCGCCATTTCTGGTCTTTTTTGCAACCTAAAGTTAAGGTTGAATAGACTTATGCTTCCCTCCATCATACTATTTATCAAAAGTAGTATCTAGCTTATGTTGGTCTTTAATATGTATTGTTCTTACAATACTTGTGATATTTGTTAAGGGCTGTTGTAACCTAAATCCTAGCAGGGGTCTGGGCTTAGCACTTGTTTGGCCAAGCTTCTTGAAAGCTGGAAATGCTCAGAGTTGAGGTGTTTGATCAAACTTTTAAGAAAAATGTTTGTAAGTAGAAATTTTTTATTTATTTATTTCAAAAGTTGTAACGACTACTAGTCGTTGGGAGCCCTGGGGTGGGGGGGGGGGACGAACTGCTAGAAACAACCTCCCCTCCCCAAAACATCCCCCTACCCCTTATAAATATTAAACATTTTCTTCTATTTTTCACAAACAATTTAATTGCCCTCTTACATATTCGCTCAAATCTCAATCTCTCTTCTCAATTATAAATTTTATTTTTGTGTTATTGGCTAACTAGAGTTGGGAGATTTTTATAAAAGTAATTTGCAAGCTTCAATTGTCATCTTTCAATTTTGACTTTTGATTATGTACGTCTTCTTTTATGTAGATGTTTGGTACATTCATTTCAACTTTTAAGTTTCATCTCCATCCTTTATCCTACTAAATTGAATTGATTTTTTATCTCTATTTTTTATAGGACAAATTATAGAAATACACACCTTTTGTTTCACTTATTTTCATTATCTCCTATTATTTTTTAAAATCTCCAAAATTCCTTATTTATTTAATGTATCCGAGCCCGTATTTAATGTATTCGAACTACATATTATGTATTCGAGCCAGTATTTAATGTATCTGAGCTACATATTATATATCCGAGCTAGTTTTTAATGTATCCGAGCTACATATTAATGTATCCGTTTTTTTTAATTTTTAAGAGATTAATGTACTTAGAAACTTATTAGGGATAAATTGTAATTTCATATTAAAACTATGGGATTTATGTAATTTACCCTTTTTTATATATGCACTCCATATTTAAAGTTTAAAATAGCTAAGGTATTAAAAAAAAAAAGAGCCAACTTTCACATATAGCAAACATAATAATCACATTTATATGTTATAACTATAGTTTGCATAATTGCGCTCTGTAGTAAATTTTATGTTTGCTATGGAGCTTTTGATTTGTATAATTTGTTCCAATTTTATACAAATTGTTCAGTTTTGTATAAATTCATTTATACATTGTAATTTGTATAATAAGATTTGTATTTGTATAATTATAAATGTATATGACGAAAATAAATGTATTTGTATTTGTATATACACTTCTCTCGCTTTATACAAACACAAACACATTATACATTTGTATACCGAATGAGTAATTGTATACCGAAAATGACTAATTGTATACCGAACCAGATGGCAAAAAATTGGGATATTTGCTGCGAATTACAAATAAAATAAACTATAGCAATAACATTTAATTTGAATTAATAATTCGCTATTTCATACAATTTTCCCAAAAAATATTAAGAAAAAAACGACTACCTGCATAAAATGTAAGAAAGTCATGAATTATTTAACTACAAGATCGAATGACTAAGAAAACATTTGAGATCGTGTAATAAATAATTTGCTCATCTAGAAACTATTGATAGGGCTAAAAAATATGGGATACCCCTGCCTAAAGGATACATAGGAGGTTTTAACATGGTTCAGAGTGTGTTAGACATGTCTAATTCGATTGGTTCAAGCACACATTGCACATATAGTAAAAAAAAATCACAAAGAATTGGTTAAAATGGTTATTGTTTGTGATTTGCCTTGTGTTTTTTCTTCACATTCCCATCTTATTCATTATATTCGGCTGGTGTATAACCCCTCTTTTCAAGATTTTTCAAGAAAAATAATTTAAAATGATATTTTTAAATATCAAGTTAAATATTGGAATTATCTTCGTTGCTTATTTGTATATTTTGATGGTAGAATATCTAATAATTCTGATATGAATTTTAATTTTAATGGTAATGATTATTTTATTGTTACTGTCCAGTGAATTGATCATGATTGAAATATGCAATATGTATATATATATAGGCTATAAATGTGTTAGCTTACCTATACATTAGCTATACAGTATACACTAACTATACATTATGATACATTAAAAAAACTTAATATAATTTAATGATATATGAAGTATACACAAACTATACATGAAATATATAATAATGATTCAATTTCGATCATCTCAAAATCACCTCTAAACAATTTCAAAATTTAGATATGAAATCCTTTCGATATCTCAAATCTTTTAATATATAATTCGCCTAAAACTTCAGATTTTTGATAAGTTGAACCTTTTTTTTTAAACAAAAGGGTGGACAAAGAAGATCGATGATGCAGAAGAAGAATGATGAAGCAAAAGAAGATGAAGAAGAAGAATGACGAAAAACACGAAGAAGAAAAAGCAGCAGTAGCAATCATTAATGGCAAAATTGAAAGAAAGAAGAAAAAGAAGCAGCCATTGATAGCCGAATTGAAAGGAAGAAGAACATACTTGGCCAATTTTGATAATTTTGAAAATTGAGGTATAGTAAAACCTCACTAAATTGATATTTGGTTAATTAATAATTTCTTTATGATAATATTTTTCTCTGGTCCCAACTTGGGGCAACGGAAAAAATCACTCATTTCGATAAGATAATATATTTGTATAAATTATAGGAACCACATATTATAATTACTAAATAACATCTTATCCCTTCTAGTTTTCTATTTACCAAAAATCCCTTAAAAATGATATTTGCGAGATACATAACGTTGTGCACGGGATACATTAGGTTTGATACATTCCACATAGCGGGATACATAGCGTTGTGCACGGGATACATTAAGTTTGATACATTCCACATAGCGGGATACATAGCGTTGTGCACGGGATACATAGCGTTTGATACATTCCACATAGCGAGATACACAGTGTTGTGCACTGGATACATGCGGGATACATAGGTAAAATAAGGGATTTTTGAAATTTTTGAAATAAGTAGGGATAAATGGATATTAAGGTAAGTAAATGAGTGTAGTTAAGTAATTTGTCCAATATATTTTCAGAAGATCCCTATATAAATACATATTGTCCCATTAATATTATAAATTAATAATTTTTTAAAAGTACAAATATATCTAAGATAATTTAGTGAAATATGATTCCATTGTGTTTTGTTTTTTGTTAAAATTTAAATCTGATTGAAGCCCATCTCTAACTTTTCTTAGTTCATCCAAAAGTTCTGGTGATTTTTTCGAACCGCACAATAAAATAGTGAAGAGTTAGATGCCATAAGTGTTTTCTCACGCGTAACTGATTTCAAAGGTATTGTATCATCTTCAATTTTACCATCAACATTATTTAAGCTCTAGACCTCTGAACATGTATCATTTTCACCCGGGTAATCTAATAGGTTATTAATGTCCATTTTATTATGGTAACCAAGATCATTAATCATGACCTCAAGTTTATGGATGGTTTTTTCAAGTGGTTCATATAAATTCTCTGAGTTTTAATTCCCTTAACGAATTTTGCAGTATCAAAACAATCTTTAAATTAATAAATACTAATTTATGATTAATTAATATCTCTATATTTTATGATCTCACCTATACCAATTTAGTGAAAGTTTACTGTAGTTTGATGGTAAAGTAAAAAGTCGAGTTACCAGTTTGCATAAGTAAACTACATTTTACACAATTTGACCAATTAAAAATCACCTCAAAGCATTTGCGTGAGTAACCACATATAAAAATGTATATTGAGCTACAACGGCCCATTAGGAAGCCCAGTTATCTAACATTCCGCATCTTGAGCCAAATAAAAGCCCTAGTACAAATCCTCATTAGGTTTTCCATATCGCCATATCCCCATCACATTTCTGCCTCTAACTCCGCCGCTCTCCTCCGTTCATCGTTCTCCGATCAATGGTAAGCCGAGTAATCATCGTCAATACTGTTAATTCTACGTAACTTTGTTTTTTCAATTTCTGAATTTTGGTATTCTTTGTAGGCTCCAAAGAAGGCACAAGCTCCACCTCCATCTTCCAAGCCAGCAAAGTCCGGCGGTGGAAAGCAGAAGAAGAAGGTCATCACTTTCTACTGATTCTGTTACTGATATAATTTTGGTTATTGGATGAGAATTTCGAAGGAACTTATGTAGATTTGTTATACATGAATGCAGAAGTGGAGCAAGGGAAAGCAAAAGGAAAAGGTGAACAACATGGTGTTGTTCGACAAGTCTACATACGATAAGCTACTCTCTGAAGCTCCTAAGTATAAGCTTATCACTCCTTCTGTCCTCTCCGATCGTCTCAGGGTATTGTTTTTCTCTCCAATTTCAATTTTTACTTTTCCGGTGATTGATTTGAGTATCTGCTTTTCTATGGAACATTGTCAATTCCACACTAGATCAATTATCGTATTTATTTATGTATGTATATCTTCTCTATTAAAGTAGATTTTAGGTTTGTGATCTGGAGTATCACAGCACACACTAATGATTTTGTGGCCATGGTGCGATCATAGCCCACATATACATTCTATTTCTCGATTATTCCTCTGCCTAAAGGTAGCTTCCCTGGTGCTACATCTATCCCTGAGAATCTACATCTATCCCTGAGAATTATTTGGACCTTAGTATTAGTGTGAAATTGTTCTCTTGAGAAATGTATATCAAGTTTATTGCTTTAACAATGATTCTATTATATTTGAATTTAGCTTAAAAGATGGTATGTTATAGTAGTGTAAACTATTGTCTTAGAAATTGTAAAGTGTTATTTTTGATGCTCCTCCAACGAATACTCCATCCATATCCATCCCTCTGTCCCATTTTATGCGAAGGTCTTGCTATTACAGGAGTCAACAATTTTTCATTGACTATAGTTCTCAATCTTCTTAAATATTTTGAATTCTTAGCTATTTTGACTTGCAGTACCTTTCATTTGTCTTCAAATATGTAAGTTTTATTTCAAATATTTGAAGAATCTATAACTGATAGTCAAAATCAAGTGTCTTTACCTTCATATACCAAACTCCTGCACAAGTATTGGGACAGGGTAAGTAGTTAACATGACAATTTAGATGTTAGGTTTCTGTAATTGCTTTGCTATTTGGGCTTCCTCTACGTGGATTCTAGAGTTCCAATCAGTATCGTGAAGGATTCCACCAGTATCACCTGACCATCTGATGGAGCATTTTTCTTGTGTCTGTGGCTTACAAGTTGTAGTTGAGGCCTTCTAGATTTTTGTAGAGGATGTTTTGTGTGATGGTGGTTGCCATTGTCTGTCTGTTTACTGTATGATGTGCCAAACATAGGAGAACCATCAAAGCGTTAATAGAAGGATGAACTACTATTTAATGATCTGTTCTTGTTGTCAAGTGTAGTTTGTCTCATTATGCTTATGCTCAATCATATCATGATGCTAAATTTTGATTATAAAATTGTGTGTTTATGATAATGTTATCAGTATTTGTTTGGCATTGGCAGCAATATTTGAGTCACAGTACATTTGCTTGTATGCTAATATGTCATTGTAATTTTGTTAATGTTGATTTGTATGAATGTCCAGATTAGTGGATCACTTGCTAGGAAGGCAATTAGAGATTTGATGGCTAAAGGTTCAATCAGGATGGTGTCTGCTCATGCTAGCCAGCAGATCTACACCAGGGCTACCAACACTTAATATGCGTTATTTCATTTGCTTACATAGCTCTTGTAGGGGCTACTTGTTTTAGAAATTTCTAAGCTTATTTTGGAAAATATCAGAGGACATGAGCAACACAGCTATTTTGAGCAATAGTTTTGATCGCAGTTACTATTTTGACCATACTGGCTATTTAATTGAGTTATTTATCTGTACTCGTCTTTTGATGTTGAAAATAGATGCTCTTCCCTTAGGTGTCTAGAATTCCAAATGAGTTCACTCCCCTCTTCCCCGAAAGTTTGTGTGATCAAGTGATGAAATGGTCTAGTGTATTCTTTTCATTGAAATGGCTGCTGTTGAGTTGATTTCAGTGTTGAGCCTTGGAAAATTTAAATGCTCGGGCACTGAGCTTAAGATTGCTTCTCTACTGGCGGAGGGTAAAATAGACGTTGCATATAAGACTGACTACATCAGGACTAGAGACATATTCCAGTTACCAGTCTGACTAGAGGAGAGTCAGCATGAAGATGACACCAAAACATTAACAACAACCCCAGTGAAATCCCACCGGGTGGGGGTGGGTTGGGGGAAGGTAGAGTATACGCAGACTTTACTGAGGTTGTTTCGGAAAGACTCCCGGCTCAAGCAAATCATAGAAGTAATCAAAAGAAAAACATAATAGCTAATAGCAAAGTTGTGCAGTGCAAATACGCAGGAAACTAGAACATCAACAATAAGGTACAGTAACCTAAACATAGTAAATCACATACTATAATCATAAACTTGAAACCAACTGACTAGTAACTCCACCCAGCCAAACGCCGGAATAGGCCAGGAATAAAACAGATTTTGATCATTATTGGTTAATTTTCAATCTAGGAAAACCTTTCTACAAGCTGAAGAGAGGAGCAGGAAGTCACACAGTGTCTTCAACAACAAAGTAAAGATCGCATGGTTCAACTGTCCAATGAACTGAATCTCAGCCACTACGACGCACATTTTACAGTGATCTCATTGCCTACTAGCCAAATAGCAAATACCAAACTGCTTTAGAACGTACTGCAGCAGCATCTAGATTCCTTGCACGCACTGGTGAAAGCAGCCAGATGATTTGCCTGTTCAAGAAACAAGGTGTCTGGCATTCTCATCATACTGGTTATATACAAAGATAATCCCATCTATGCAAACACAAGAAGCCAAATCTAAAACGAAGCTATGTACTTACTAGCACCATCAAAATCGACACTACGCTCCAAAATGCAATTGATTGCATGATCACTTATTAAGCCAGATCACTCTTCTCCTCATCATGCATTCACTGATCAACAAGGTAATCAGCAATGTCTGGAGGACTAACCTGAAGAAAAGTAACTGTTGCTGCTACGTATTTCAGAAACTACGGTGTTCCAAACTAGACAGGTGCCTATTATTTGGAATTCACATGATTGACAACCGGTTATTGCCTTTCCCATGAGCGCCATGGCAGCAATGCTTGGCGCCTGCTTCTCTTGGAAATCACCAAGTGACAACTTTGAGTCATAAGGTTCACAAACCACCACTGACTTAGGCCTCTTGTGTGCAGTGGCAGATCTATTATGAAGCCACCTTTGAACCCAAGACAGTGAAGTCAACAACTCGTGTTGTTTCTTCATAACGTACAAAGGAGAAGAGTCCGAGTTCCTTGCTAAGGCTAGAGTTCTATCACGAGCCATCAATTCTTCACAGTGACGTTTACCAGCTGTGAGTACTGAGCCTGTTATAGTAACTCTAGAAATTTTGCAATGGGACTTGTTTGCTTTCACATTAGATGACTTCCCTGAAAGATAAGAGCTCTTTGTTCCAACTGAAAAGGACCTAGAAGCACTCAATTTCAGGCGCTTGACCCATCTGCTACCAGGCTTGTCTTTGAGCAGCGTTGCAAGGCAAAAATTAGCTTTCAATGGACTTGGGTGCTCGTTATGACCAAGGAACAATCTCAAATCCAAACTTTGAGTTGTGGAAGAAGTTGGTTCCAACTTATCCGTCAAAGATGGAAGCTCCAAGTTTAAGTCAGGCAATTTGGTATGAAGGCTTTTATGTCCAACTTCTTTCTCGAGACAGTCGATTGCTTGAAGAGCAGGTATATTTAGGTCCATTCCACTCACCTGCAAGATACCAGAAATACCAAATGGTCAAAATTGAGATTCTAAACTGAAAGGGTCAAACGGGGAAGTAATGGTATTCCAATAGTACTGCTTAGCAGGGACTATCGGGATTACACAAATAAGATCACAGATAATATGCCCGTTTTTTTTCACATCGCATAAGGAGAAAACACCAGCGAGAGCACCACATTTTGCTAAATATTATAAGGTTAAGTCCTACCACAATTTCAGCTAACTTTTTAACTTCATTTCCCATGTATACTTGGTATTTAGCGAGTAAACTGGGAATTTCAGCAGCTTTTACAGAGTAGAAACTGAATAGGTTGATATCATAAATTGACTACTTTGACACTAGCCGTCACCTACTGCAGTCTTCCTCCTTTATCCAGACATGGGACTGGATATGCTACTAACCCCAGGCGAAATAATACGAAAGTAGGAAGAAATCAAGAGACAGCACATCAATTTACATGGTATCACTTGGGAGCGGGGAGGAGAATGAGCTTGGAATGTCGTTTATGGAACTTGTTTTCCCACAGAAAATGCTTTCCAGAACATTTTGACCAACCGAACATGAGAAAATTGAACATATTTTCCTCCAACACTCCTAATGAATTATTATTTTTTGGATGGTAATATCAGAAGTTTACCAACCAAACATGAGAAAATTGAACATATTTTCCTCCAACACTCCTAATGAATTATTATTTTTTGGATGGTAATATCAGAAGTTTAAGTCTTTTGGTTGGTTACCTGTGCAGGACTTCATTCACTTGTGAAAAATCCAATACCATAATTGAGTCATCAATCTTCCAGATTCATGGAAGCTCTCCAGTAGACTTCACTAACCAAACGTGTTGAACGGCTGTGATAATTATAAAGTTCAGTCTCTAACATTCACTTCTAAAGATTTATCTTTCGAAGCTAGAGAACATCTATTTATGAAATCAGACTTTAATCATACGCCAGCCAGAGCTTGACTCGACACTGTATGAGATGCTGACCCTCAAGGATTGTACAGCAAGAGCACAGATGACTTTGGGGAGGCACATCTATAAATCTTTTGGTAGACTTGGAAAGGTTCGAACAATCTTCAGTTCAACAATTAAGTTTTACGGCAGCCAAGTATCTCAGTCATGTTCAACATTGGAAATTGGAAATTGTTTCCTATATCTGGAAAAGAGAATCACACAGCCTTTCTTCAGATGGTAATCACATAATGTGCTAATGTATTGGAAATCGAGGATTACCATGTTGATCACCTCAACTAGTCCAATGCAAATGAAGATATCACAACATATAGGATAACATAAAAAATTAGCATGTAGTTCTCTCAATAACATGATTGAGATTTGGATTGCAAAGAGATACAAACATTTCCCATGCTGTGATTATCTGTGGTCTATTCCCCGATTAGGATTGGGGAACATGAGAGGAGTAGAAGTAGAAGTTTTCCCTACACTGTCATCCTTCCATGTAGCACACAAGAACTTCCTCTATCACTCCCCACCACGCTTACTAATCTACACTACAACCCAACATGGCCAAGCACCTGAAATTCTTTTTGATGTGGGTGTCGGTGAGATTTGATCTCAGGACCTATGCCTGCTCTGATACCATATTAAAGTGTGTGACCATCTCATCAAAAAACTTAACTTATGAGCACACTTTTTTAATAATATTCTCTAACAAGTTTTACTAATTTTCTAATGTTAGGTAGGAAATCCTTTTTTTTAATCTCAAGATTATTTACTTATATGTGTGGTGGAGAGTGGGGAGAAGAGATAACGAACTTGCAATGTCACCCAAGTAATTTGGTTTTCCTACTTTGATGAAGTCAGTCATTTTCGTCATTTCTAAGGAACTTATTTTCCTATAAAAATATTTTTCAAAAAATTTATCCAACCAAACACAAGAAACAATTTCTACTCTACAACAATTACAGTTCTTTATATTTTGACCCCTTTTAGTAAAAATCTAGGCTCCGCTACTAGTTACATCAGCACCAAAGTGGGAAGAAGATCATGATTTGGCTCAAAGATTCAAAACAGATTAAACTTATACAGAATTACTCAATAATTTCTGCTACTTCTGTAAATACCAAAATCATAGATTGAATCTGTACTTAGATGAAACCAGAATTAAATAAACTTGAAAATGAACTCACCTCTGTTCTTGGCAAGCAGTAAGGTCGAAACTTCAAAGAAATTGAACTATAAAGTGGCCATTTCTGTACAGGAAAGAGAGAGAAAATTGTTGAGCATTAAAATGTTAGTTAGAACTTAGAAGATAGACAAATGAAAAGGATACATATAGCAATTAGCATTCCCTAATCATTTTTTTTTGTTTTTTCGTGTTTGTGTTTCGTATTTGCATTGGAGCAAAACATGGTGTTTGGTACCCTAGCCATATCTTTTTATATTTTTTAATTAAATTAAAAAAAGGGTTGTTATTTTAAAAAGAGAAATAATTATAATTTGGTACGAGCAAAAGTATCTTACCTTTTCTTAGTTTTTTCAAAAATATCTTGTATATATGGGCAGATAGACAATTGGCACACAAATATCTACAAATTCCATGTGTCTTCGGATTTAGTAACAAATTAATATATTCTTTCTATTTTATTTTATTTGACACATGTTGATTTGATTTGATAGATGTTCTAATTTATGTGATTTACTTTTCTTTTTAGTCAGTTTAATATTAATGACATATTTTTATATTAAGTAATAATTTGATTGTAAAATGTCTATTTTGCCTTTAATGAAATGATTTAAGGCCACACAAATTTCTATCATTCATTTTGAACCACAAGTTTAAAAGTCTTCCTTTCTTTCTTAAACTCCGTACCGAGTCAAACTACCTTACATAAAATGGGACGGAGGGAGTATCAAATATATAAATTTGATTTGAATTTGGTATGAAATTACCTAATTAGTAAGACAATATGTAATTATTTAAAATTATAAATTGAATTAATATATATGACAGAAATATTTGTGTAATTAGATAGTCTGAAAACGAAAAATATAATAAAAAATTAAAAGGAGTTTTTCAATATAAAAAAAGGCTAAGTGGACTACTTATGAAAATTTGTGAAACTCGTAACGTGAAAAAAAAAAAATATGCAAACAAGTTTAGAACAATTACAAAAAAAAATCCATACATATAATTCGGGTTTATTTCACAACATAAAAACATTATTTACTAATATATAAAAAATATTCTTATTAACATCGGATACACGTGTAATTAGAAACTAGTGAATATACATGAACTTTTATTAGAAGCAACGTCAACATAGATGGTCCGACCTCGAAACACATACTTTTTGGACGCTGCATATCAAGAGGGACTCTCCCTAAAAACAGAGATCAAAACTTACCATTCTCCCATTTGTGGGTTTACTGTGATAAATAAAGTTAACTTCCATTAATTATCCCAAAACTTAAAAAACATCACAAAATTTTTAAAGTTTTTTTTAGGCGAACAACCTTTAAAATTTTTGTGATGTTTTTTGAGTTTTGAGGTGAGCTAACAAAAGTTTACTTTGTTTATCACAGATTGCCCGCAAATGGGCGAAGTGTCTGTTTTAATCTGTATTTTTAGAAAGAATCCCTTTTAATCAGTAGCATTCAAAAACTGTCCATTTTAAGGCCGGACTCATTTCTCGTGAACTTTATTGATTAACATAGCTTCTCTTGAAAATTGAGTTCTTTTCGTTACACATTCTTTCAATTCTTTGAGTACATAATTAGATGAGTAACACTTCTATTTATTTATTAGAAAGATTTAGATTAAATTAATTTTAAGAATATAAATTTTATAAAATTTAATAAAGGAATCAGCTGACTTGGCATGATAAAATGGACAAAGTAACATGGAAAAATGGACAAAGTAACATGGAAAAGCTCTAAAATGAGTCAAAAAGTGTGTATGTGTTATATTGTTCCCTTGGCAAGTTTGAAGGCCACGAACCTCCTCCATATACCACTTACTAAATTCTATGGTCCATCTTTCTCCACACCTACCTTTTCTTTCTTATCTCTAGAGCCGTCAAAATTGGCTTAGTCCGCTCTAGTTCGGGGTTTTTTAGGATTGGATTGGATTGAGCATTTTCAGATCCTTCCAAATGAAGGGTTGACTCATCCTAGCCCATCAAATTTCTTGGCCCACTAGGCTTGGGCCCGATGGGATTGGACCGACTCTTTTTGACAACTTATTCATCCCTAACTCAATAATTATTTGTTATTCGATTCATGATTTGATTAGAATTGATCTTTTATTAATTTTTCAATTATAAAATTTAAATATAATATATATTTATGAATTTGATTGTTATTAATTTGATTTGATTTTAAAAAGTTTAATGGTATTTCTCTTTTTTTTTTCTACAATTGAAAAGGATATTTCATTTTAGAGAAAATGGCCAAAAGCCCCCTCAATATATAGCCAGATTCCCAACTACACACTCATATTTTACGGGGTCCTATCACCCCTCTGAATTTTATAAAACTGAAATTATTACCTTCCTAAATGCTTATCTGGCAAAGTGAGTGTATTTCACTCTCTTTGACAGAGTGAGCAGCCAAAACAATATTAATTTTTTTAAAATATATTATTTCATAAATATATGTATTTTTAATTATTATTCTTTTAAAATTTAATTTCTTTCTTCTCCATGGTAGCATATGCCAAATCTCTCCACCCTTATCATCCCCAAATTGCCTCTCCACCGGATTCATTATTGTAAATTTCTAACAACTCTCAGGTAAATTTTTTGAAAAAAACAATCAAATCCACCATCTCCAATCACCAAAAAATAATTTCAATCAAATTAGACTCATAGTGGTCTTGGTGGTGGTGTGAATATTCTCTTTTTCGAGCTGCATTATTTGAAAGAAATGGTGGAGAGATCATTGAGTAAGTGGAGGAGCTCATGGTGAAGGCGTAGAAATAACAAAGGCATAGGTGGAGATGGTGGTGGCAGCGAAATTCTCAGACTATGTCGACGACGGCGAC